CAACTCATAATAACGAATCATTATTTACATGTAAACCGAAAATTGCAAAAGTGGATTGTCAAATAATGAAATTAAAACCCAATAAAGAAAGGAAAAAACTGCATATCTGCCAAATTCCTGAAACTTTAAAAGCCAAAGTTGATGAACAAATTGAAGAGCTGTTAGAACTTGATTTAACAGAAGAAAGAAGTGCTGAAATTGCATAGCCTTTTAGTTCATGTAAAGACAGAGGAGTTCAATAGTGTTGTTGATTATTTTGCATTAAATGCTGTAACAATTACTGATGATTTTCCTATGCAAAATGCAGAAGAACTTATATATTCACTAGAACAAGCTAATATAGTATCAACACTGGATTTATTCTGACGGTATTGGACTATTCCCATGGATTTTGAAAGTCGTGATTACACTTTGTTTAAAACCTATCAACAACAGTACAGATATAAAGTTATGAGTTTTGGTCTAAAAGCTGCTGCAGCAACATTTCAAAAGGAAATCAATAAAGCAATATGTGAATACAGATATTTTGGCAGAGCACATATTGACAGCATTGAAGTTTTTTCAAAGGACTGAAAATCTTGTATAATTCATTTAAATATGATACTCACAAAATTGGAAAAGCTTTAGTTTACAATGAATATCAGCAAATGTGATTTTGCTAAACCAACAATCAAACATTTAGGTCATGTAATTGATTCTGGGAAACAGAAGTGGATACTGAGAAAATAAAAGCAACTTCCAGGTTATCAAAACTGAAGACAAAGAAGCAGCTCAGGAGTTTATGTCAGATATGTAACTATTATTGAGATTATATTCCAAAATATCCTGAACTAGTACATGCTCTTATTGAACTTACGAAGAAGAAGCTACCTGATGAAATTCCATGGGAAGAAGGGCACAACATAGCTTAAGAATGCTGTGATTAAAGCTTTATTGTTGTAAAGATTAGTTTTGGAGCAACCGTTCATTATACACTGTCACTGTGATGGCTCTCAAATAGGAGTTGCAGCATGTTTATCTCAAAATTTCAATTAGCACATTTACCCATAGCCTATGCAAGTCAGAAGTTAACTGGAGTTGAACAATACACTGACCATAATCCATTACCTTACTTAATAAAACATGCATGTAATCATCTAGATTACAGCACTGGGCTCTTGCTCAGTAAAATTACAATATTAACATGAAACACTGTTCTGAAGTCAAAATGGGTACAGAAGATGTTTTATCCAGACTGGTAGAAGAATGAATATTTTTTTCACATACGAACAGAAAAACTTTTTAGATACTTGATGATATGAACAATTCAAAAAACTTTAATTTTAGTGATTTAGACTGATTTGTTAATTTTCTTATTTTTCTTAAAGCTTATAGTAAGATATCTCTTTACTTTACTAAGTAACAGTTGTAATGTTACAGAAATTAGATATTTATAGCAATTAGGTATACTAAGCATAATATTCTTAACATTTTTTGAAGTTTTCCAAGCATTAACTATTTTGTTATATAAATGCTGTAGTATTTTTATATTTTCTTACATTTTTAATAATCAAGTATAGTTATAGATTAGTAAATATAATGTTGGATTGTGAGCACCACACCTTTTGTTACCAGAATGTGTTTGGACAACCTGCCCAACCACAATCTGGAGGGGAAGGTGTAGTGCTTGTTTCTCCAAAACTTTAATCTTAAAAGTAAGTAATGCCCTCTAAGGTGGAGGAAAAGAGTTAGGGATAGGCTGAATGTTCAGTGTAGTGATTTTATAATCAGCAATTCTGCCCTAATTAATATGTTTTCTGTTTGTATAAAGTGTATATGATCTATGCTGTGTGTTGTAAATTAGTGAGAAAGTTAATCTGTCATTAACTGTATACAAAACATGACACCCGCCACTACTAGATCTTACAGTTATTTTCAATTCTATTTTCAAAAAATAAAGCATTATATTTGAATGTCAAATTACATTTTATAAGATTTTGCAACAAAAGAGTTTATAAATTCCATTCTTGAGGTAGAACACTACTACTGCATTGTCACTATGATTTACTCATGCAGAGAGAGGTAACACAAACTATGCACAAAATAGAATGAGGTCATAAATATTAACACCAAAGTCACTTGTGATCAGTTTGACAGAAAACATACTGTTGAATATTTTGAATTCCTGAAATATTATGAATACCCTCGTAATACCTTCGGAAGGCAAAACAAAACAGCTTCAAACCATAATGGGATGCATGCTCTCTACAAGCCCTTGATGAGTGTCAAGAGGCCTATACAAAGGTATTCACCAAGTTAACCAAAGCACCGGGACTAGCCATATGCTGCATATAAAAACAGAAGATTTTAAAATTTTTATGAAATGCTTCCCGAATCATTTGATTTCTGTGATCACATAGTAGAAGATTATAATACTCTGTAGAATAATTTTCTTTACCAAAAAAGAAGGGGGTCTATGTCACATTTCCCCCAAAAAGAATAAGATAAAACTAATTGACATGGTTGAATTCTGCAATCAAACTATGGTTCTAAAATTTATAGTAAGGTTGCAAGGTCTATGAAAATCTTAAAAAGTCTGATTTAATTGTATATGTAACTGAGAGTGAATGCTACGAATGCAGTCATAAAATAGCTTTATGAGGTTATTCACATTTTTACGGAATCACATTGGATTAAAGTTTGAATACCACTCGTTCACAGTAATCATTAAAAAAAATATGTATTCATTCTGATCTGAAGAACAGATATTGATATTAAAACTTAAAATTAAAAAAAAAAAAAAAAGGGCCAGGTTTTGTGCTAACATTTCCCCTCCTCCCCCTTTTTTTTAAACTGAAATTTTAAACTAATATAGTAAATATTAAACACATAAAACTTGTAGTAAATTATATCTTTATTAAAAAAAAACTTAACATAAAATTGAATAAACAATTTTATAACTTATCACTTTAATAAACACATTTAATAGTTTAATAATAAACAATGTATACTTAAAAAGACTGCAAACATATAACAAAAACAAGAATCTTTTAAACAAAATACTGAACAGCAGTCGGACATTAAACAGTAGATTAGCACTAAAGGAACACAAAGGCTGTTCGCACATTTTTAGATGATTTTCATTGTATTTACAGAAATATTTTACCTAAAATTTGTTTGTTTTAAATTTTAGATTTGATAACCCTTAATCTTCACTACCATCTTTCTACATCATAATTTCCAAAGCTATAAAGCCTCTTTTAGTATCAAAAGAGGTATTTTATCCCATTCCTCTTGAACAGCTTTCCAGAATCCTAGGAGAACTGTAAGTCAACGTTTAGAAAATCCATGGATCAGGAAATATAATAGGGATATGAGTGAAGAGTATGGCCTTGATACCCGTTTGATTAATGGCACTATAGGGAAACAGACTGTATTTCAAATTTGAAAATTGGGTATAAAATAAATTTCTGATAATAAGTGGATTTGATTTTGACATTTTCTGCACTTTCTTTAATTCTTATTTGTCATTATAGAGATATTAGGTATTTTTTGGAAGCAAGAGAGATGAAAAATTAGCAACCGCCTTCACCGGGAATCGAACCACGGACCTCTGGAATAACGGCCCAGCATTCAGAACCACTACACCACAAAGGCACACTAGGAAAGCGGGAGAAATACCTTATATACTCCCCCTTTTAAAGGGCGACTGGAGGTTTTAGGGGATCCAATCACCAAATCCTGGGTGAGGAGGAATCATCACCACCCTTTTAGTTCAGGCACCACCACTGTAAAGACATTAGGTATTTTTTGGAAGCATTAGAAATGAAAAATTAGCAACCGCCTTCGTCAGGAATTGAACCACGGACCTTTGGAACACCGGCCCATCGTGTGGAACCACTACACCATGACGACACATTAGGAAAGTCGGAGAGATACCATATAATATCAAAAAACTACAACAATCATAAATCCCTTTAAAAAACTTCCTTTAGATTCTTTGAATTATGTTCTAAGATATTTTTTCCTTCTCTTTGATGGGAATAATTGGATCTTTTTATTGTAATTATTTAAATACACCAAAGATTCATCTAATGTGACAACATTTTTCCATTTTTGTCTAAATAATTGGTTTGGATTGTTTTAAGTGATTATGGCAAAGCCATGAGGGCTGCCTGACTAAGGGGAGGGATAACTTCGTGAAGGAAACTGGTCTATAGACGTTACATATAGGGAAAACCACAAAAATGCCCATTAGCCAGCCCATTCACAGGATTTGAACCTCGGACTGAACTCCAGTGTTCAGCCACTTTTACTGCTCTGCTGCTGGTGGGCCTGAATAAGTGCTTCTCATACAGAATTCTGTAGCATGTTCTGCTTCCGACGATATGTCCTGGAGTAAGATGATGTGCATTACTTTTTTTTTTTTTTTTTTTTTCCTTTTTAAGATTCAACTCAATATTAATCACTTTGTTTACAGTTGACACTGAACATTTTAATGATTATGGAACTGTGCTTTCACTTTGAGGATATTATTTTAACATTCAAGTTTTTATCTTTACCACATTGAGAACATTACGTTTTTCCATGGAAATGTATTTTGAACCATTTTTCTCCTTAAAGCCAAACTTTGATGCTTTTTTCCTTCTTTTTGTCAATTTACACTTTCAAAAACATAGCTGCAGCTTTAAAAAAATTTTCTAAGCAGGCGATTTTTTTTAATAGTAAAGCAAAGTCATCTTAAAAATGTGTGAACAGCCTTTGTAGATACTATTTTCATAGATTAAAAACTCAAAATTGGTTAGATATTTATAAAAACAAATTTTTTTAATTTTCTGATTACTACCTCTTATTTTAGATGTTTCTCATTTTAAAAATGAAGCTTTAGAGCACAGTAAAAGTTATGTAACTGATAAATACAAATTCCATTACATTAACCTTTACATTTTTATTCAGTTTTTTAAATATTTGAAATAGACTGAATCACATTTAAAAAAAAAAAAAAAAAAAAGACAATTTACCTCAGTGCCTCTGCTTGAAATAAGATATGCTAATATAGCTTTCAGTATAAAAATAGATGGCTTTATTATAGCAGTTACTAGGACACCTTGTAAGCCGACTAATGCTGGAGACTGATGAGATGGTTTTAAAAATGTGTCACAAATATTCTAAAATAATAAATTATCTATTAAACATTGTTCACTGTAAAAGCAATGCTAGTAAGTCACTAAAAATATATATAATTTATCAGGAATTTTAATGATGATTTATATGTTTATCATTCATAATCAATTCCTTCTACATGATAATTATATTTTATTCAATTTACATGAATGTTCCTAAAATCAGATAAGAAAATACTAAAGATGATTGGTTTATCAGTTTAATATGAGTCACAATAAACAAGACTTTCTCTAATTATGATAATGTACCTAAATAAATAACATCTTCTAAGCTAAAACATTTTTCCCTTTTAACAGACAGACCATATTCAAACAGAAAAAGTGCAAAACTAAGATGCTTTATTCAGATTACCAATTACATAATTTAATATTATTACTACAACAGGAAATACAATATTTTTTTATTTACTAAAATATGCATTACAATATGATCTACAAAAATGTATTCACAGAATGCTTAATAATAATAATGAACTTACCTACTTAAAGTACAAGTACATATCTTTATTGCCTTTCATATTTCTATATTAACAGACAATTGTTATTCGCAATTCTTCCCTCTAGATTCAAATTTCACTAAAAATTAAGATGTAAATTGCTAGCAAACTTTTTAAGCTATGTAGGCATTCATTACAGTTAGGATCTAACTTCTAAAACATCTTTCATAAAGATGGAAAATCAAATCTCTCATTTGAATTCATATCTAACTTGAAAATCCCCACTAAACATTTTTTTGTTTAACTGCTATATCTCTTTATACTGTCTTACTCAAAATTCTCATTCATTAAAGTTTCTATACACTTTGCTCTGCTTTTTATAATTTCTTTTGTTTATAATATTCTTGGATGCTTGCGTATTAGCCCGCTGCTGATCATGAAAATTGGCTACCATCGAACCATGATAGCTGCCAGAGATTTTGCCAAAGTTGTGCCGGTTGTTTTTATGGAATTGTGAAGGAACCAAAGCCTCTTTATTAAATAAACAATCATTAATTGATCTGCTTCATTTTTGCTCTTCATAAAATGGTTTTTGTCAAATTCTACTGCTTTGTTTAGCCCTCCAATTTATGCAGAAGTTATGTTAAAAACACTATGGATAAGCTTCTCAAAGATAGTTGCTCCATTTTATTACTGTGTTATCAGTCGTATTCAGCTGACCATACCAATTAATATACACCTTTCTTGATGGTAGGATCCCATAACTTTGAAAATAATCTAGTGCTTGTTGTTCTGTAATAGATAGTTTTAAATTTTAATAATATTTTCAAAATGCAAGAAAAATATAGGATTAACTGTTACTTTATATCCTTATTCACAAAAGCAATAGTTTGCTTATCAAGAATCAGTTAAGGGTTGCATCAAATGACATCTCAGATGTCATGAGTGTATTGTGACACAATGCCTATCCATACCTGGTACTAAATTCTGTTGCTTTGCAAGTTTCATGGTCAATGAGATAATACTTAAGTATCTATTCATCTAATTTTTGTACAAGAGTTTTTTACTTTAGTAGAAGTAATGCTTATACTATCATCATCATACAGTTCTAGGCAATGACCTTACTGTGATGCAGCTAGCAACTTATATCATTCCATGATAGTCTAAGATACCATGAAATAACATTATAGGGTTGTCATGAATACTATGAATCATACAGAAAGTATAATATGATATAGCAGTAATGGTAGTTAGAAATGATAACATATGCATTAAGTGAATGACAGCATAGTAGTTTAGCAAACTGCATCAAGGCAAAAAAATAAAATGAAGAAAGCACAGAGATGTTTCTTACAACAACAAAAGAAGCTTCATATTATTTAAACAATACCTGAAGTATGCCTCTAAAACACTCCATGCCATCGTTAGCAAACACTTGAATAATAGCATACATATACTTGAGTTCTCCATTCTCCCCATCATGTAGCTTTGAAGAACCTGGTATAAATATTTGATTAAACAAAATTTTATGAAAATAAAAAGCAGAGAATATATGGAAAAGAGACTACTACATTTAAATGAATATTCTATTGGTAATAAAATATTTTTAGCAGCAGATAAATATATAATGATTGAATAACTTATAATAGTTTCTAATCATTTTTAAGAAGCTTAAAGGATAATATATATTAAAAGAAAAATGCATATAAATAGCAACAACATTAATAATAATAATATCAATAATAGGATAATATATATAGACAGATAGAAATATGCATATAAATAGTATAATACAAAATAAAAATATGCATCTTAAAACAGAAGTAAGGAATATCATGGCTTGAAAAACATTTCTTTACATATAATTTTCTGGGGGAAAACTGGCTGATATATTCAGTGCAGAAGAAGCACAAAATGTATGTTCTACTAGTACCCAAACACAAGATGAAAGCGTTTAGCAGATAATGATAAGGATGTAAAAATTTACTTTTTATTCAGCCAAAGCAGTAAAAGATTCTAAGCACTGTAACAATTTAAGCAATATATTTTAGAAAATTTTGAAGTTTGGAGGATTATATTTTAAAAATTGTTAGACTTTGTCACAATGATTTTTGCAGTTTGTAGATGTAAGAAGCAGCATATCATGAAAATCATTATAATAAACAAATTTGATGAATTCTAATTAAAAACTGAAAATTATGACAAACTGATCAAAAACATTATTGCATGTGAAAGAATAAACATGTGCACTGATACAATTTTAGATGACTGATACAATTTTAGATATAAGATTGTCATATTTAAGAAACAACATTTTACAGATTTTTAGAGCTTTTATTTACTGAAGACTATTTTTGGCTTCAAAAAATTGATTTTTCAATTTTAATTTTAAATAATAAAGTCAACTTTTCTGATTACAAAAATATATAACATGTTTAAGTCTGAAGTATATAGTCAAGTATAACATGTTATGTCTGAAGTATCAGACACTTATAAATTAAGACAGAAATGCCCCTTTATTGAAGAGACATTTTTTAAGAAGTGTCTTTTAATTAACTTTTAACTAATATTTATCATTATTTTTTCTAAATATGCCAACAGTATTATGCTTTAAGCATTTCTATTTATAATTACATCTGTCAGTAACAAAAATACTTTTCAGGGATCTGAATTTTAAGAATCATTAACTTTAGCATATCCATGGATCGACCGAAGTTTTTAAAAATAGATTAATTGGTGAAAATCATTGAAAAATGGAGAGGAAGATACAATTACATATTTTTAAAAACTTATATTTTGAAACTGAAGTGCTGAAAATTTCAAATATTAATACAGATATAGTAAGAAAGAATACATAAGGGAGTATATATAAAGTCTACATAATTAATAAGGGAATTTGAAATATTGACAAGATCCATTCTTTAAAGTATAAAAATGTTTTTTAAAATCACTCAGAAAAAACGAATCATCAAATAATAAAATAAAAGGAAACGTGAAACTGAATAGTCATCATAACAAAATAATTACAGTGCAAAAAGTTGAAAAATCAGACAAAAATGTATTGATAGAGAAATTTCTTTCTTTCCCCCCCCCTCAATATTTAGGTATGTTTTCCTAAAACTCTATTAATAAAACAAACCTTAAATTTTATTTCATAATGTTACTTTCCTAAATGTATTGGGTGAACTTATTTAAAATCATCTCCAAGAAGAAATGAATTATTGAGACCCCAGTTTTGCTTTAAAATATGCTACATTTTTTAAGACTTTAAATTTTCTTTAATTCAAATATATTCACTTACACTTCTGAATGTATCTGCAAATACCAATGCAAATTTGAAGTGATTCTATGCATAAAATTTTTATGTGTACCTAAGTGTGATCATGTATTAGAAATCTCTCATTTAAAGAACCTGTCAAAATTATTTCCCTCATAATATAGAGGATAAAAATTTAAATTTTACATTAACATAATAATAATGTGCAGTTTCTATAAATAAAATAGTTTGATTCTGCAAGGAGTTTTACTATGATGATAAGTTTATTAATAAGGGAAATTTTCATGTTTTCCACTGTTGAAAAAGTCTTACATACCTAAAGAAAAAATTTCTGCCTCACAAAGTTACAAAAGGTATTCGGTTAATGATGTGAGACTCTAGAAGTTTTAGTAAAAATTTGTTTTTATTTTCCTGATATATTTCTGAATTTGCTATTAATGTTATATATCATTTTAATAACCTTTATTTCTATCCTGCAAAGAATAAATTATTTTAATATTAAAATCCTAGAAATAACAAATTATACGTTTATATAAAATTTTAAAAAAATAGTACAAAATTGCAATTCTGCATAACAATAATAATAACTTAATAGGTTTTAGGAAAAGAAAGTAATGCAATAATGTTATATAAAAAAATAGATTGCATAAAGCAAAATATTCTCTTTAAATATGAGACAATTTATATAATTAAATATGCAAAAAAAAATTACCAGCTGGAAGAGTCAAGTACTGAAGTACTCTTAGGGCAGTTATTAATTCAGGTGGTAATATATCAGCATCTTCAATGTGAGCCTTCAGAATTGTCATCAAGGAGCCTACAGCTTCATGAGTATATCCGGGAATAGAACGTGTCGGAGACATCCACAAACCCAAATCATGCAACTTTGGAGTTAGTTCTGGAAAAAATAAAAAATCAAATGAAAATTTTTTACTAAACATAAAATTAATCAATAATTATATGCATCATTTCTAAAGCAAGTTCTTTTTCTTATATATGTATGATGGAATACTTATATACATATTGGTTAATGGTAGATACTCATTTTATTACGTAAGAACATTTTACTGCTTAATAATTAAGTACTAAAAATTAATGACTGGTTTCAACAGCAAACAATTAGCATTTATTTGCAAATTCAACAATGACATGGTAGAGCTTCTTTTAGCATAGATATAAGACATAATAATATAAAGAAAAGATTGCAAAGACAAAAGATTCAATCTCTAGACTAATTTTTTTTAATCCTTAGATAATTTATTTATATTGCTTTCCTTTTAAGAGCATAAACAAACACTGACAAACCAAAACAATATGACCATCCCCACATTTTTTAATGAACTCGTCTAGATGACTTAGAGGGCATGTGATTAAGTAGGAATGGTATTAAACTGCTGTTAGAGAAGATAAGGAATCATTCTTGCTCTCACTTTTGTGAGTAATGGAAAAGACTGCTGATCTAAGCTAATTTAATAGAGGTTAGACTGTACTGGCCCGACGACTCAGAACAAATATCTTTGAAATTGCACAACTGGTAGATTGTTTTCAATCTGCCATTATTAGTAATCCATAATCCGGACTCGTCGGGACTTTGCCGATTCCGGATTATAGATCATTAATTTAAATCTGGTAAGATGGCATGCAGAAATTATATAATTAAAGATATTAAACCTTAATTTATGAAATAAAGACCAATTATGATTTAAAGGGTATCAAAATTTACAAAAAAAAAGGCTTAATATTTATTTGTTTACGTTATTAAACATTTCTATCAATGTAAATTGTTTGAGTTGCTTCGTTTTTTGTGATAATACTTTCCCTTTAATTCTATAAACAGGCATAATGTCTTATTCAGTTACAAAGTACTACTGTTCAAGTCCTGTAATTGCAGTGTCGAGAATACCAACTAACTTGTCAATCAAATTTGTTCATTTTCAATAACCTCTCTGTCACTTTCTTCACTATCGGAAGCGCGAGGGTAAACACTTTACACACATGCGTAGCGGACGCGTGCATTAAACGCTATTCACATATGCGTAAATTTGTGGCTTTGATGTCCGGATTATAGATCATTCTGGATAAAGGACATCCAGTCTTTGTACTGTATTTATGCAAAGTGGATAAATGACGGTGAAACTGACAGTAGATGCCAAGGTGTTGTACGTTCATGTGTCATCAGCAAAACTAATGCCAAACAATGGCTCAGCTGACAGCCCAATACAGTCCAGGTCTAAGCACAAGTGTTTCAGAACACACAGTTCAGTGGTCACTGTTAAGACACTGCAGACACTGTTGTATGTTTGGCTCTTTAGTGAGGTCGTGATGTTTTGCATCTTCAGTGTACCTTACAGTTTAACAATTATAAAAAGAAAATTAAATTGTAAATGTTTGTTGACAAATTTTGTTAAATTTCATAAGCAGTGTAGTAGAACAACTAATCAAAATTTTGAATGGTGGGATCACTGGTAGTTTGAAGGTAGGGCGTTCTCAAATCTAGGATGCAAAAGAACTCAATATAACATCTACTAACATTTGAAGTTCATAAAAGCTGTTTCAGAAAACTAGACACATATCCATAAGGTTTAGGAAGCATGTCAAGAGTTATGATACCCAATGAAGATCAGAACTTAGCATTTTCAGACAGTTTTAAAAGGATTACAGCTATTAAGATTAACCATGAGTTCTCGGCTGCCATTCAAACTTTATTTTCAAGGGTTATTGTTTTCAAAAGGCTTCATGATAGATTTCTGCCCAGATGATCTGTTATTTGCTTCTCAATCACCTCTTCACCCAAAAGTGCCCAGCATAGTACACAGAACATTAGCTGTGGACTTAAATTCAGAAGCTTCTCTTCAGTAATTTACATTCAGCTTCTATATTCAGCTGATTTTCAGTGTACCTTCATCTGGACAGACACTGGAAACCAAAACCATTCTTCCAATACCAGGAAAAAGCAGCAGTATTATGACAGCAGAGGATCATGGTCTGGGCTTGCAAAATGTTGGATGGGTGCACACTACTCCATATGTATTTGCAGATATTTTCTGACTGCTCTGAGGTTAGAGGAATTTCTAAAGCCCTAAATGGAAATTTCAGGGTGCAATTGGCTCTCAATTCCTCTTTATGGAGAAAAAGGTCTCATCCACATACAGCTCAACCAATAAATAAATATCTTCAAAGTGAGGAAATTCTGTGGATGAATAGGCCAACCAGAGCTCTGGATCTGAAACCTGACTGAATTTATGTAGTATAAATTTGGGGATGCAATAGCAAGTCACCAAGCTGCCTCTGAAAATTATCCAGAAGCTGCACATGTGGACTCGTTCACCAACTTGTAAACAATATAATACATGATGACAACTTGTTGGGTGATCTAGGTATCTGTTACTGACGACCATATCCCTATTTAGCAGCATTTCAGATACCCTCTTGAAAGTATTCTCAATGTCAAAAGTATTACTTATGATCATGAAATAGGTATTTTTACTACTGTATGATATTAAGTGCTGTCTTATGCGGAGTGCGTTTACATACTTATAGAATGATTTCAGAGCCATTTAACTTGTGTTTAAAATATAAAGAGTATTTTTTTTTTTTTAATCTTTGATCTAATACTTTTTTTTCAGTTTGTAAGTCTTTATCAGGATTTGCATGTTAGAAGAGCTTTGCATAAAATTTTCAGAGGTATTGATTTTCATTCTGCTTCCACTATTCTCAAGAGTCCATCAGTCATGATAGGTTTGTGCTTAGAAAGGGCTCTTCAAGAGCCAAAGGCATAATAATCCAGAAATGAAATGTCAACAGACTTCACAGGAATACATTAAAAAGGTATATATGAAATTTTTTTATTAATCTTCATTTCTTCAAGGAATGCAGTGGTACTTTTTTAAGCAGAACTAGTTTCTTTGTCTTGATGAAATTTCACTCTATAAAAGTCATTGGGGTAAAAGAAATAGAATTTCTTTTCTAAATATCGGACATAAAACTTTCACTTGATAAAGTGGTGAGTTGATTTGAACATTGTTTTTTTCAACTGTTGCTTTAATTTCCCATTGTAAGGAAATGTGACAATTATAAATCCCTTACTGACACTTTCTTTGAAATGATGGAACCAGGGTTGTACAGACACAGAAAAAAAAATTTATAAACTTGGGACTTTAGTTTGAACGGTTATTGTTTTCTAAAAATTTCTTCCCAGATGATCTGCTAGTTGTTTTTCCCTCACCTGTTCATGCAAAAGTATCCAGCATAATACACAGAACATTAGCTTTGAACCTAATTTTAAAAGGACTAAATTAGCTTCAGTAATTTATATTCAGCTGATTTTTAATGTACTTTCACCTAGAGAAAATGCAAAATCATTATGTAGTTCATTATGTATACCAAAATGTAGTTATCGTATAGAGTGGTTGGGTTGTGTCGATGCAGGAACGGGAAAGGTATTTGGTGCCTTCGTTGGGCTTCAGGCTCTGCAACCTCCCAGGTGCATGTCGTGTGTGCTTCCATTTGCATCCCAGGGACTTGCACTCGGGATGGGGGGAGTACCTTATCTGCTCCACCTTTTGGGGGGGACACTTAGGAATGAGGAAACCCAGTTGCTGGATCCTGGTGTTGACGAGTTGTTGTCCAGGTAGGAAAGTGGTTAGTAACTCAAACTGCCATACCAAAGGGTCTGGGTTCGCATCCCGGAGAAGGCATAGATGTTAATTGTTTGTTCCTTCTCAGGAGGCAATGATGGCCACATATTAGATGGCTCCATAATAATATGACCACAACTTACAGCCTTAGTAGTGGCCAATGCCTGTAATGGCTAGTGCCTGCTAATGGGGGGAAAACAGAACCTAGGAATTAAAACCAGTCTTCCAATACAAGGGGACAGCAACATTATGACAGTAGAAATATCATGGTCTGGGTTTGCATCATACTGGATGGCCACACACTACTCCATATATGTTTGTATATTTTTTTCCTTTTTTCTTCTGTTAATAAATAATCTCTTTGTTCTGATAAAATTTTTTTTCTTCGTTCTGATAATAATTTTTTCTCTTTGTTCTGATAATAAGATTTGCTCTGAAAATACACTGCAAAAATAATGTCACAATGTATTTTCACTTATCTCCTGCTAAATAATTTTCATACAGGGTTCTAAGAATTGTTTTGCTTTTAACCACATGCCTCAGCAAAAGTTGGTGAATATTATGTTTTTTAGAATTTTTACATTGTAAATCGTGGTTTATTATTTCATTTATAGTTGCCATAAATATATAAAGACTCTGCAACTGATTTCTACATTGGCAGATTTTCTCTTGTTGCCGATGATTTAACTTTAGAAACATTAGAAATACTACCTCTTTCGGGTATTTGTTTTGGGGTCTTTTTTCCATGCAGAATAATTGATGGTTTTTCTCTTTCCGATTAAAAATTTTGCTTATTTTGCACTTCAAAATTTTAATATCATGCATTTCACAATTTTTTTAATTGAACTGGAAGATGTAAAAAGGAACTATGTGACAACTTTTACAGAAGCAACAAAAAAAACCTTTCCATTCTTCAGAAGAATGTCAGAAGTCAACAATAAAAAATTATGAGGTTTTGATGTAACTAGGATCCGTATAATTCAACATTTTTCAAATGTCTTCTGGAAATTATGGAAGAGGAATATTTCTCTTCAGAAAGTAAAAAAACATATGCATCAATCCACAGCCTGTTTACATGCAACATTTTGAAAGAAGAATAAACTTAAAAAGAGCAGACGATATTTCTCATTTCAAACACTTAGCTGTTGCCAAAATTTTTGTATTCCAAAACTCTTTTTATTTCAAAAAAAAAAAAAAAAAATTTGACGAAGTTATCCAAAAATATTATTGCACATATACAGGTTTGTAATAGATTGAATGCACACAGGGTCCACTGATAGGTTGATAAAATTTATTTTATCAAAAGAAAGACTTCAGAGTTCTGCAATTTTCCACAGAAATACTCATAGAGGTGTTCACAGTATCACAGAGTACAATCAGTAGTTATTCTTCAAACTGCAAAGAACATTAAACACGCAAAGCAATCTAAAGAGTGAAGATAATCTGGAGATACCTGTGAACTCTGAACGTGCTAAACTAACAGCTATCAACTCTGAGAAAACGCTGCTCTCTCTGGTCTTATACAGTTTTCACCCACCCACTAACATGTTTCTTGTACTTTCTATTTCATGAAATTACTGGAAGACATATGAGGGCCGAATACAATTATAGTGACACAGAACATCAATTACAGTTATTAAATTACAATACCTGTAACAGCGATACAGGGACAGAACTAAGATGTCACCAAATGGTCACCACGATGGCAACTTTGAAGATTTCTTGTCAAATTTGGCGACAAAAGTTAGTCACCAAAACTGTTGCCAAATTAGCAAGATAGTCATTTACTTAATGTTAAATACACTTGCCACTGTATTCTTATTTTTCTGGAAGAGCATAGTCTCTCTAGATTTTAATGTTACATTATACAGAAAAATACAATTTTACTAAAATTATCTATACATGTACAAAATTTGTAACATTATGTAAACAGCCTCCGTATTTCTTTATATCCAAGCCAATTTCCATTAAATCCTGTTGAGCATTTCTTGAGAAATTTGGAAAAATGTGTTTATTGTCTTAAATTTTTAACATTTTGAGAAGGCACTTTCCCAAAATTATGAATAATATTTTCTTGAAAAAACTCCTTTCTTTTATATATATAAAACTAATTTGCAAGTTAATGGATTAAAAAAAAATTCTAATTTGCAAGTTAACGGATAAAGGAAAACTACTTTTATCTTTAATTAACTATACAATCATAAATGAAAGGATTATGGCAGAACAGCCTTACAGTTTAGCATTTTTGCATGATTTCTTTTAATTCACTAGGTACTCATTTATACTGCAGAAATAATAAGAATCAAATGTTACAATTTTAAGTGCATAATACAGTCCCCCATGGTAATACCAATTCCTTTTCAAATGTAAATTGGATAGGTCCATGAAGAAATGAAATTTGTGTATAATAACAATTATTCTTATTAAATGGATATGAATGATCATAATTTTTCACTAACAATAGCTCAATACAAATAAATACCTTGCTGACTCAAATTAAAGAGAGCATCAGAAAATTTTTCTAACGTAGGAATATCTTCAGAATAATGCACAACAAGCATAAGCAGTTCTGCAACATATCCAGTGCAAACAGATTTGCTCTGCTTTATATCAATTCCTTCATCTCCTAAGAAATAAATAAATAAATACATCTAACAAATTTATTTAAATATTAACATTAAGATATAAACAGATAAAACAACCAACATTATACAGTACAAAGTACGAAATCAAGACTTGTCGGGACTTCAGCAATCCTGGATTTGGGATTTTTCCAGATAATAGATCATCAATTTAAATCTGGTAAGACGGCATGCAGAAATTATACAATTAAAAATATGAAATCGTAATTTATGAAATAAAGAACAATTATGATCTAAAGGGTATCAAAATTTATAAAAAAAAAAAGCTTAATATTTATTTGTTTCTTTATTAAACATTTCTTTCAATGTAAGTTATTCAAGTAGCTTCCACAAAAAAATCCGAAAAGTTCCTTTTTCTTACGTTACATACAGTTGACTTTCCAATGCCATACTCCTCGCATAATTTTGAGATGGATATGCCTTTATCCATTTTTTGCGGCAATTCCACTTTTTGTTTAATGGACATCGAAACATGGTTTTGCTTTGTAGATTCTTTGGCAGCTCCAGAACTGGAAACTCTTTTCGATACAATCGAAAGTTCAAACTTAATTTTTATAAAATTGCTGTAATAATAACAGTTTGTGAAAAATAATAGGCTGGATCAAATTAGAAGATTAAGGAGCAGCACAGTCTTCTACATTAACTGAAATGCCTTAGAATCAGTCTAGCTTAATAACGTCCGTTATACATTATTGGCTGTGTATCACAAGATTGGCGACGAAAGTCAAGTAGTTCCGCTAAATTTTGTCTAGCTATTATTGCTTACTGAATAAGGCCTGAATTGTATTAGTTATTTACTATACCTACATTTATTTCTTGCACAAGCTTCAAACTAATCTGAGTCCTGAATAAATAAACTCCCACATATACTTAGGCTTTATCTAGGACTGGCACTAGACTTCCTGGTGCAGTCTCTAAATTCTGCTACAAAGCAACTTCCTTTTTGCAGTGCCTAAACTTTGGATCCCAGTGCTTTACCCCCTAAATTATAAAAAACTTCTCATCCCTTAATTTTGCCGCTCGGTATTTGCCCAAATTCCAAAATTTGTGTCTTCCCTAAATTCTGCCGCCGCTTCTGGGTTTATGGTGAATAACATATCAGTTATTCTTAATTAAAATAGCACTAAATGTAATCTTTTGCCCTATGAGTTCCATTTAAAAAAATCTACTTTTAGCAGATGAAAAGAAAGCTTTGTTGAATTTTTCCTCATCAACATTTCTTGAGCATTTAAAAATAGTCATCGCCAAGTGTAATGTTAGCAAAAGAGGTTGCCTTACTCTTCAGTTACTAATATAAAAAAAAGTTTAGACATCACTGCATGAGTTATTACTGAAGCTGCCATGTATTGAAAAACATGCAGTGTTGAAAGCATAGTATAATAAATAATGACTCGCCAGGTCAGCATTAGGGATATAAAATAGATGAATATTTTGGTTTGAGATGTAATGCCAAGCAGACACTGAGCTGCGGAGCCAAATTATTAATCTCACAAATGCATGCTTACATGGTTGTTTTTTCATAACGATGTATTTTATGTAGTACCTAAGTGAAATTAAGAATCGTAATTTTTTAAGTGAAAATCTCCATACATTTTATTATGGAAGGAAAAATCAAATGCGCATGTGTAAAGCATACCCCCCCCCCCCCGAAAAAAAAAACGTGGCTTTAAGGTCTGGATTTTATATCATTCCGAAAAATGGACATCCGGATTTCATATCATTCCGAATAATGGACATCCGGATTTCAGACTTTGTACTGTATAAATACAATAAAATGTGAAGACTATACACTGTGCCCATAAAAGTCTTTATGCGACCATTAATTCCTCAACTTTTGATCACAGACATGTATTTCTAGTTACAAAAATATTTTGAATGACAAAGATTCATGTTGCAATATTTTTTTAATAAAAAAAATAAATTTCATAAAAATTATGAAATTAAACTTCCAAATAGTTATAGTTAATAAAAATTCATTCTAATTACTAAAACACAGAAAGTGACTCTCATATGCCAAAATTTGACTAAGATATTCAATTTCAAAATTGGTGGGGGCTTGTCTTATGGAGTGGTTAAAAATAAATTAAAATAATTAGAGGTCAATTAGAATAATAAAAGGTCTTTAATATCATTGTGATATTCCTTTCTCATTCACTACTAATTAAATTAAAATTTTGTTGCATTAGATATGCTGAAAGCATTTTAACATAAGTAGTTATAAGATTTGAAATGTTAATATTCTAATAATATTCAGGCACAGTTGTATTATTTTAGGATCATGATCTAATAGTCATACCAAAAAGACTAGACCAGAAATATCTTTTATTTATGCAAATGTTATGAACTGGCAATGTGCCAATACTGAAAACCTGCCATTATTTACGAAAATATGCATTCTATAAGATTCTGTGAATAAGATCTCTTTTTTGAAAATGTTAGCATTAATCAAAATGTTCATGACAACCTGTACACCAGTGCTCATCATTTTAATTTAGCCAAGCATAAGCCCAGGCGTTTTTTAAGTGAATATTTTATGAGTAAAATCAAATGCTTTGGCAATGTGTTTTATGATATTTGATAAAGAATTATGTGCTCTACAAAACAGTGTGTTTAGTTTTTTATATTATCTACTATTTATTCTTTTCATGGCATTAAAATGAAGTGTCCAGTTATTAAAAAAAAAGCATTTTCAGCACTTTTTGCTTTGTGAGTTTAATCAAGATGCCAAAGCCATAGAAGCTGCTCGAGAGATTTGTGAAGTGTACGACAAATAAGCAATGCTCAAAAGGAATTTAGGACAGCTCAAAATTGGTTAAAGCTTTCAAAGATGGTAATTTCTACTGTCAAGGCATTGAACAGCTTGTTGAGCACCGGAAAGAAGTTGTGAAGTCCAACATAGAACACATTATTGATTGTTTTGTTGTCATTTTTGTGGAAACCCGTGGGGGAAAAAAAGCCAGAATGTATAGACCAACTCAATATTAGCCTCAAAAACCTTTTTCTAAACTCATGTTTCAATTTTACTTAGGTACAAATTTAAATATTTTGAAAATTATTTCATTTTTAGAACTTTCAGAAACATGATCTCAAATTTTAAAATTTGAAGTCTTGGTTCATTTTTTTAGGACAAAAATTACACTTTTTGTATTTCATTTTTTAGAATGAGAATTAATTTTTACATAAATAAAACTACATCATCTTGGATATGGTGTGAAAAGTTAAACTTTGTAGTATTTACAAAATTAATTTTCAAAATTTAAAAATACCAAAACGTGAAAATTTGCCTGGCATAAAATAGTTTTGGAACTGGACATATGTATCTACAATTAACAGATGAGACAACAAAAGCTGCATAAGGATTGGCCATCTGTATACTCCAGTTTCATAGCATATCATATCTTCGACAATGTTGCATATCAACAAATATTTCAAATCATGACATACACTCAAAAAAGGTTATATATTACATAGCAAATATGTGGAAGTCATCTGCTTTTTATCACTCAGCCAAAATGAAATACGTCTGCAGATTATTTTAGCTTCATAACAGATTTCATATAATAAAGTACCATTGAAAAACAGTTATTAATTTAATACAAGTATCTTTACATAGCAATAAGAAAATTCTGCATCATGCAATAAAATTAATAAATTAAAGAGCATGAAAAGTAAAAAATTGTGGGAAAAAGTTTAAAATGATCTGAAGTTTATTTCTAAATAAACAAATAGGTAAATAAATGATATAAAAATATTAACTATTTTTTTTTTAATCTCACCTGTCATTTGTACAAAGGGTAATAAACAATTCAAGTTTTCGGCAGTTTTTAATACATTTACAACTGCAGGTCGGCCGATTGGAGAAAATATCATTGTGTATAAATGATGAAGGGCTGAAACAGTTTCAGGTTCATCTGGCTCTTTCTGCAAACCACCTGAAATTTCAAAATCTTTTTTATAAATCTTTGAATTAAAAATAAATTATGGCTGCATTTCAAAAACAGAAAGAATCAAGTGAACATACAAAAAATGCTTCACAGTTTTGTTTTAAATTGTTTCTGTAAAATTTACCTCTAGCATGATAAGACATCAAGCTGTCAACATAAAAAAGAGCCTGTAGATGGTAAATGATCTGCATCCCCAAATTCTGAGCTAAATTTTCTTCAGTAGCATCTTCACGTGTTTCGTCCTTTAAAATAAATAAATAAAACTCTTTGATTAAAATTCTGAAAAAGTACGTGGCATCTCTCTATAATTTAAAAAATGCAAAAGTCTTTCAAAAAACAATACTTTAAGAAACTAAAGCAGACAAGCATTCTGTTAAAATATTAATTTCATTACATGATACTATGAAACTATTTAAAATACTACTGGTTTGGCATGCATAAAATATTTCATAAAGTAGCAAAAGATTTTTTCATGGAATAAGCAAAAGGCAAATATAATTATCATTAAATGTCTCATATATCAAACGATCAAAATTATTTTTGATTCAAGTTCAAAATTTTCATTCAATGAATTTCTTAAAATTTTAATCAATTAATTCATTGTTTCAGTTGAAGCGAATCAATTCAATTCAATGATTTTTGATTCAACATTCTCATCTAAAATGGTTATTAATTCAATTGAGATCATGATGACTCAAGATGACCAATGAAAATTCAATTATCAATCAATTGCTTAAATTCAATGATTCATTCAAAATTTGAATTTGACCAATAATCAAAATGTTTCTAAGATGGAAATAAATGCATGGCAAGCATTTTGTAAAAAGTATGTTACTCTGTGATCTTCTGCAACTTAGGAATTAATCTTAGTGCTTACAGAGTCCAAACAGTCTTAGACAAGACAAAATAGGCTATCCAAAGTATCATTTGGAAGAATATTTATAGTAGAAAGCTACTGGTCTTTTAGAAGTCCATGTACTTTTAAAAGCCCACATAAATCTATTCCCCACTCCCACCCCACACACATATTTTGAAAAATTACTTTTGTAAACACATTTGACTACTGCAGTAACAACAATTTATTTAGGTTTTTAGTTTTGCTTTTGGTTTTGCTCAGGCAAATTGTGAATATGGGACCACTGTTGTATTACATTACTTGTGATCAAAAATATGTGGATAGCCCTACTTAATACTGAATTCATTCATTTAAAATCATGTAATAATCTTACATATCGGTTAGAATCTGAAAACCTCATTACTTGGCAAAATAAAATGAAAAATATAGAAGAGCTGAGTAAATAAATATGGAAAAATGTTGAGGTTTATCTCACTTGACTGACCTACAACAGTCCAGAACAAGACTGTAAATTTTATCATGGCAAGGAGCATCTGTCACTGGTAAAGACATCTGTCATCTGTCTGGCATCTGTCACGGAGCATGGCAATATTGCATCTGTCATTGGCACAGGCATTGAGCACAATGTAGGTCACATAACGATTTTGTCCAGCTATGTCCCAATTTCAAATGAGATTACCTGGGGCACGGATCTGAGGGTTTCCCACCTCTCTTTCCCTACCACCAAACCACTTCAAAGGGCTATTGGTTCACTATTTATTTAGAGTGACCCCATGCAACAATGAAAATATATATTTATGAACATCCTTGCCATCTCCGGGATTCAAACCCGAAAAAAATGAATTAAAGAAGCCATCAGCACTAACTGTTTTACTGATCAGGGTGGAAACTAGCACTAACATGAAAACCTATTCTAAGAGTTTTTTGTTTATGTCTCACAGATTTTGTTCTGTCATAAACAGCATAATCATGAAATGGTAATGCACAGGAGTGAATGCAATATAACTGTCAACTCTGATAGTATCTGTTAACAGAGCTAAATCAAACAGCATCAAAGATAGCGATGAAAAAAAAAAATCATCTGTGAAAACAACTAATCCACAGTAAATTCCAAAGCAGCTTCACATGCATTACCAGCAATCTGAATATTTTACTGAAATTTTCAAAGATTAGCTTTACTGTCCAAGCAGGAGAAAACAGCAGATTAATTCAATCAAATCAAAATCTTAATTACAATAGCTTGCAGCCTGATTGATAGATTCTCAAGCATTATGAAATGTGCATTATGAAGGGGCAAACTACACTCCCTGCAAATCCAGTGGATAAGTGTAAATGCAGAGAATACTGGACAGTTGATACCTAAACAAATGTTATGCAAAGTAAGATGTTTGTTACCACAGCAATAACAGTAAGCAGCTTTTTTTTGGGGGGGGGTAGTTGTGTGTGTGTGTTTTTTAGTGATGAAAAAAAAACATGCAAGCTTGTCTAAATATCTTATCTGAATTCACATAAATTATATGAATTATCAAATTTGTAGAAATTATATTTTGTAAGAAAACAGTAAACAATGCCACAAAAATCAGCTTATCATTTAACTAATAAAAAAATTAGATCATTTTAGAATTATAAATGATAAATACTTTCATTCACAATTTATTAAGGATTAAGACTGTGATTCAGCTTCATGCTTTTAATGACATTTACTGAAAATTTTACTTCAAACATGAAGAAACTTCAAAGTAGTTACAAGTAAGTATATATTTACTACCTGTAATAAAATTCATTGCTTATTAAAATCAAAGCTTATTTTCATAAAGAACTGTTTGTGCCTTACCACTGTTTGAAGTAATGCCCTCTGAATGCCATTCACAACATCTGGAACAGATAGAAGAAACAGCATTCCTTCCTGGGAGGAAAGAAATTCGGTAAACAGATCTTTTAGAGCAGTAAGAATTGCAGGATGACCTGATAAAGCTGGAGATGACAGAAGAACAAATATGTTCTCTAACAGTTTGCTGAAAAACGAAATTGTACACATTGTTGATCCAAAATGTTCATGTAATATAGGCATTGTATTAATAAATACCTTGACCATCCTTTACAGAACCAGTCAATTACTAGTTTAAAAAATTCCTCAAAATAAAATTCAGAATAATGCACTTCCAAAAAATAAAGCAAATTAAAGCTGCCAAAGTGTCTTGATAATGCATTAAAATATTACGTTACCATAAAAAAATCATTCACTTTAAAGAAATAGAACAAAATGTAATGAATTTGAGTAGCTGTTTCAAAATAATTTTAAACTTCCGAAAATTCTCACTTTTCTTTAAATATTCTTAGGAGTCCAGGATAAGGATTATATGGAGGTTTTGGAAATTCAAATTGGCTCCTGGCAGGTAAGTATCTTTTGGGCTGAGCCTGAAACATTATTACATTGGTATGACTGTTATTTGGAGTTTAAAAGCATTTCATAAAAACTATCACAAATATTGTAATTTTTTTGTTAAAGATACAAAATATTTACACAAACAACATATTTAACAGAACAAGAAAATAATGAAGTATTAACATACATTGCACAAATACACATAAAATGAAAATCTTAACAAATTCATTAATAAATATAATATTTATGCAGAAATAAATGAAAACATTATTTCGAAAATAAATCACAAAACTGTTTCATATTAATATGGTTTATCTAGCATAGCTTTAACAGAAATACCGATTATTTTACAAAATAACAGTAATGAGCATTTATTTATAATGCAATTTAGTGCTGGTTTATACACTTTTCTCTATCATCCCAAGTTCTGAATTTTCATCAAATTTAAGATTTAGAAAGCCTAATTTTAAACTGAATAATTCTATGCTACAGAATTAGGAAAAGTTTATTCTATAATTATAGCTTCAATAGCTCTAAATTTGCATTTTCTCCATTAGCAGACACCAAAGCAGTGAAGCAATTTTTAATTGCTTTTAAGTTACAGTCCTAGTTTTAAACTGACTGGAGATTCATTATTATTTTCAAAATATTTTACAAAAGGTAAAAATGAGTGCATAATAAATTTAAGGATGATTTGTCCTATGAGCAACTTTAACATCATAGTTGTAATACAGGGATGGCCAACCCGCAGCATGTGTGCCCCTATGTGGCACAGTGGAGTTTTAACAGTGGCACACAAAGTGAATTAAAAGATTTGAAAAAATAATAATATCATCTTTAGCAACTCCGTCAATAGATACACACATAAACATATTAGAATATATATAATAATTGAGTTTCTCTGCAAGAAATTAACTGTTACCCAACTCAAATCAAAATCAAAATTTTTGACCTATAGCAGCATACTATACTGAAAAGCAGATACAAGGAACTTATTTCAACTGCAAATCATCCAAATTATATTGAATTTTGAAAATTTGTACCAACAGGCAATTTTCCAAATTTACATGATTTAGCTGTCAGATATTGTTGTAGATGTTTGTGAACTACTGTTTATTGTCATGAACATAATAAAATCAAAATATTGTTCAAGATTAACTGATACGCACCTAAAACACCTAATTATGTTAGCATCTTCAAGAATTAATCCTAATATAACTGAGTAAAAAAACTGCATATTCAAAAACCACATTAATTAAGTACTGGCTGTTTAATAATTATTTATTAAGTGTTTTAATTTATTCATTTTATTTTATAACAACCTAAGTGAACGAACCTTCAAAAATGCTTATTTATATTTAGACTCTAGTTTGCAAGTTAATTTTATTTATTACCTTAGTGGCACACATAACTAACTAACTAACTATTCCCCCCCCAGATAGTGGCATTCTTTCCAAAAACGCTGTCCACCCCTGCTGTAATATAAAGGCAATTCATTTAAAACAAAAATACTGTTGATACATTTTGTAGCAGATATAGTTTTTACAGAACACTCAACAGTTAGGAGTAAAAAAAAAAAAAAAGAACTTTCCTACCCCCAATCATTCAACAGAGTTTTACAAGAAATTACTTTTGAAACTAGTCTCTACATACTAAATTTTCATATATACTAAATTTATAATCACATAAGCATGATTCAAAAACTGCAGCAGCTATACTTTCATGCATGACAATGAATATAGTTACCACATTTTTCCATGCAGTTTGATAATAATATGTAACTTCTTGAAGGCAAGAGAGTATAATTTGCACCAAATTCTCTGCAGAATTGGTAATACTATCTACAACTTCTCCTTCTGATTCTACTGAAGTTGCTCTTGGTTCAGCTACATCGGGTGAATCAGAAGGCACACTTTTAGACTCTGACACATGGGTGCTTTGTACAACTCTAAAAAAGAATACACATATTTCTCAAAAACATCATTTTGCAAACTAAATGAATCATAATATGTTTTAATATTTATGCACCTTAAAGAGAATTTTTACAATATGTTTTAATAAAAGTATATTACCTTTTTATACATAAAATTCTCCATTTCTCTCATTCAGCATACCACAAGAATATATATGCCATATAATTTCAAAATATTCCAGAAATTCTTTATTTCAGGAAAACAGTTAACAGTAATATAATTTACACATTTCCTCAAAGTAGTCACTTTTGTCAGTTACACCTTTTACCACTATTCATAAAGTTATCAGGTATAGACTTAATGCATTCCTTGATGTTTTTTCCTAAAGCACGTGGAATGCAAGTGATAGAATTTCTAAGCAGATGCCTTTTCTATTTCAGTTTCAAGAAAAGAAATAACTCTAAAATTTTACTATAGTTCAGAAAACAAATATGATGTCCTCTACATCAGCGGCCGCCAACCAGTGGTCCGTGAAAACTTTTTGATAGTCCACAGAAAAAATTGGGACATTATTTATATTTTTATGAAGATTCAGTTTAAAAAATGAGGAGTAACAAAACCTATTATGGAAAATGGATTATACTTTTTTTTTTTATTTTTAGCTAATACTTTTAGAGAAATTTATTCTTAATTTAGCAACTTTTGCAGGTGTATCTAGCAACATTTGAAAGTGAAAGTTGACATCCAAAGATATGCTGCTGTTATCAATAATATTGTGAACCCGAATTCTCTTTCCTTTTGAATTACAAACATATGCTACTGTACTCATTAATAACACAGTTTTTCTCCGTCTTGATGAGCAACTTGATGGATTTTTATGAGAACCATCTGCAATCTTTTTCATAATTGCATCACTGACAGCTTTGCCTAACTGTTAATCGATGGCGCCATTGCTGAGTAAGCAATGATTATTATGTTTACAATAATTAAAAATTGGCGGCTTAACACTTTCAGTTTATTGATATTGCTTTGTGTTTGCCAGTGCGTTCTTGCTTTCATGAAGTTCTTTTTCAGTGATATGGAAATGTGAAGCTTTCTGTACAACAAGGTAAGATTTTTGTACTTTTCATATAAATTTTCAATGTGAACGAAATATGTGTATCAGTGAGATGTTAATAGTGCTTTAATTGTTATTATTAAATATCACACTAAACATATATAATTCTTAAATTTTTCATTTTTTAAAAATAATTACTCTATAACCTTGTTACCTTTAATGGGTGCATTTCTCATTAATAAAGTAAAAGTTTGCCGATTATTATTGTATAAATGTACTTATATATTTTTTAATATTCATATTAGTGGTCTACGAAACATAAAATTATATATGCAGTGGTCCATGAAGTTCTAAGGGTTCACGACCACTGCTCTACATTTTTATAAACTTAAGTTAAATATTCAGTTTTGCTATAAAGTTTTCCTATTAAGTTTTGCTATAAAGAAAAATATTTCTTTATCAAAGCACACAAGACATAGTGTTAGAAATAATTTTCATTCATTATAATAATGTTGTAAATATTCATAATGTTCAACTGAATATATTATAAATTAAATGTATTTTAAAATATATCATTAAAAATTAACATTTTAATTACTAAGGGTACATTTACTGCTTTTAAAGCAATCAATTATGCAGTTACAAAGATAAATTAATCTTACATCATCAAAATTTATTATTTATATGATATATTTATTACTTATATGGTAAATTACATCAGTCAAATGTATTTTTAATTACCTCAATTTCAAATACTATACAAACAAAGGCCATTCCATAAAAATTCAGAATACCTTCAGTTGGCAACAATGTCCAAATGAGAAATGAAACTGCAGATGATTTTCTAGATTAAAAAAGAATTTATAAAAGTGGAATTCTGCTTTTGCCACTGAGTTGTTGTTTAAAGAAAATTATTGTATTATATACAGCAATGGAGGAGAATAATAAATGGTAAAAAATGAACTTAACTGTGTGATAAAATTTTACTTTCATTCTGGGTCACAAAAACAATTCCAAAGATTTCAGCAAGTTGACAGTGTTCAGATAGTTCCATGATTTTAAAAAAGAACATTTGCTGGTAGAGCTCACTCCAGGCTTGGTTGATGTGAAAGTTTTTTATACAGCGCAATGTAAATATGATCTTGAATGATATGTTAAGTCTGCTTACATATATGCAGTGGTCCATGAAGTTCTAACGGTTCACGACCATGTTAAGTCTGCTTACAGATAATATTACAGAAGTTTCAAATTCTGATAATGTAAAATTCTGTCTACTATATATGGGAGGTAATAACTTCAAAATATTCTGAAGATACCTTCCACACATATGTGTACATTTACATCTTTGATATACTGTGTTTCTTGCTTTCAGTGGTAAGATATACCCTGACTTAGAAAATATTAAGATGTCATTTTAATAATTTTACCACAATGTTCCATTTTTTATTCCATAATCCTTTCTCACTCACAGCCACTTTTTCTAAATGATTTAAAACAAGAATTTATTATTCTTAACTTCAAAAAACTTATTTGCAAGAACTTTCGAAATAAAGAAAAACCTTGTATCAGTTATCAACTTAGAGCAGGAAGAATACATGACACATTACAGCAAACCACAGATTCCTATCATCCAAATTAAAATTTATTCAATGAGGCAAAAATATTGTATTAAATTGCAGAAACTATTAAATTAATAACTTAAAGTACCATAAAACACCACATGAAAGAAATTAGCAAACAAAACATAAAATTATATTTAAATTCCTTTTATTTTTGAATATATTACAATCAGCAATAATGTGAACATAAAAATAGTTAAACTAAGAATTTCAAAGAACTAATTAGCTATCACTAAAATATGTAAGATGAGAAATAACATACTTTTCTACACAATCTGAGAGTTCCAGGAGAATTTCATATACATGAACTTTGTTTAACAATGCAGAAAGAGACACAACAGCTCGAGTAAGCTTAAAAATAAAATATTCGATTATTAATGTAAACCTAAAAGTATTTTTAATAATAAATATAAAAAGAGAAAGTTTAATTACTTTAAGATACATAATTCTATAACATGAATAGCAACTTAAATTGTTCAGTCTAAAATATAATTTTATTATTTACAGAAATAACAGTTACATAGTTAAAAATATTTTAAACATAATACACTAATAAGGTTCACCAAATATTAATATTTAGTTTAATACCTGCTGTTTGGCAACAAGAATTTCCAGAAGTTTCTGATAGCAAGTTTTTGGAACATTCTTTAAACTGTCAGTATCTATAGAGAGAAGAATAAGTTATACATATTGGTTAAAATATTCTCTAAAATCAAATACTGAAATAATTAATGATAAACATCTGAATAACTATGTACAGTCAAAAGTCGTTAATCCGGACTCGTCGAGACTTCAGCGATTCCAGATTATCGATTTTTCCGGATTATAGATCATCAGTTTAAATCTGGTAAGATGGCATGCAGAAATTATAAAATTAAAAATATGAAACCGTAATTTACGAAATAAAGAACAATTATGATCTAAGAGGTATCAAAATTTACAAAAAAAAAAAAAAAAAAAAAAAAAAAAAAAAAAAGCTTAATATTTATTTGTTTACTTTATTAAGCATTTTTTCAATATAAGTTGTTTAAGTTGCTTCGTTTTATGTGATAATACTTTATCTTTAATTCTATAAACAGACATCATTTCTTGTTCAGTTACAAAGTTCCGCTGTTCAAGTCCTATAATTGCTGTGTCGAGAATACCGACTAATTTGTCAATCGAAAATTTTTTCGTTTTCAATAGCCTCTTCACTATCGGAAGCGAATTATGATGATGAGGAATTTGATTTAAATCATATCAAAGACAGAGTACATCGAGAACAAATACTACATTTAGTAAGGAATTATAAGCCAAATAAAATAAAAACATCTGCCCCGAAGATAAGGATAGTGCTGACAGATTAACTTCCAATTCAATGCGCGCCGCGGCGTTTCGGCGTCCCCCCCCCCGGCTGCAGAGCAGCGTGAAATTGATAAACAGATTTCGGAATGGTTTGAGAAACGAAGGATACGCCTATATCCATTTTTTGCAGCAATTCCACTTTTTGTTTAATGGACTTCTAAACATACTTTCGCTTTGTAGATCCTTTACATATTAGTAAATATATATCGGAAATTCTATTTGACATAATCAAAAAGTTCAAACTTACTTTTATAAAATTGCTCTAACGGTCTGCAAAAAGTAATAAGCCGGATCCAAATCGAAGATTAAGGAACAACGCAATCTGCAACATTAACTGAATTAGATAATTTTAGCTTAGCTTATACCATCCGTTATACATTAAACGCGCAAGCGTAAACGTATTACGCGCATGCGCACACGCATATTCGCAGACATAAAAGTCTTACATGGATGCACCAACGCGATGCATGTGCAAAACGTTTGTAGCTTTGAGGTCCGGATTATAGATCATTCCGGATTATGGGTGTCCGAATTAACGACTTTTGATTGTATAAACATTATTTTAACTGAAAAACTTTTTCAAAAAACTCTAAATTTTCATTAATGATTTTAAATATAGTCCCTATTGTTTATCAGTACATAGATGCTTTATTTCAAATGTATTACTTTTTCTTATTTCGTTTCCTCCTTCCAACTATTTTGTTCAATAAAGGGCACTACATGTGCCAAAGTATTCAGAATGAGATCACCTGCACCGAATTACCTAACTCTAAGGAGAAAAGGCCATTACTTATGATTCCTGAAAAGCATTGAATTGTTCAGTTGACTATGGAACTTGAATTAAAGACACTTGAGTTTCATAAACTAGTTATATTCAAATATTAAACAGAATGTTCATAAATCTTGAATGGTAAACCAAGTCACTTGTTAAAATTTCAGCACAGCTAGCAAAAAGTTCGAGGAAATATTTTCAACAATAAATACATAGCATATATATATGAAATATAGAAAAATTGATTCTCAAGAGGAAATAAAACACGAATTTTCAGGATGAAAAACTATGTGAACATAAAATTCAGAATATTTAGAATATCTAATTAAATACCAATATATTTTACATTAATACATTTTACATCAATATAACTAATTTAATAACCAGGGTTCATGCACGTTTGCGCACGGAAATCAAATACTTTTAAGGACCATCAATGAAAAAAATTAAAGACCTATCAGCAAACATGAACTGAATAAACTTAAGCAATTATCTACACCTGAACTCCACTTTTTTTTCAACGTCACTTTTGTAATCTGCAAGTAGGATGCATTATTGTTAAACCTAGTCTAATATTTAACTTAATTATAAAACAAATTCAAGAATAAAATCAACTTCATAATTTTTTTCAAGTAATTAGCATTAAATTACAAAATTTCTTGAAACATTTAAATTTTACACTTATAACAGTCCCATATACTTTAAAGAAGTTTTTTTTTTTTTTTTTTTTTTTTTTTTTTTTTTTTTTTTTTTTTTTTTTTTTTTTTTAAATTTTTATTTTACTAACAATTAGCTTTCTACTGATTCTTTCTTTTAAGCTTTATTTCTTCATCCAGTCCATCAATCCAAAAATACCACCATAAGTTATGTATATTTTAGTATAGCATAAGCTAAATTGAGAAGTAGCATAATAATCATCATGACCATAACAGAAGCTTGGTTGCCGCCTCCAGCTGCTTAGTTAGAGACAGAGAGCCACTTATCAGAACAGATGTGAACATCTGGCATTGATATGGTTGATTAGTGTTGAAAGTTAGCTGCACTTTCCCTGACCCAGTTAGCATCACAGCTTCATGTAGATTTGCTGGAATTGCAAAAGCCAGTATTTAATATGGAGGTCCAACAAACCGTTAAATACCAGAGGTGATAGGTTGTTTTACATTATTTTAAGTCTCATTAGATGTAAGGAATAAAGTTTTATGTTAAATTTCACTTTCTTTTTTCCCCCCCAACCTTTTGTTGTATCATCCACAATAAGGATTAAGGAAAAGCGATAACTCACTTTAACATATAGATATAACTTTTAAGGATGAGCAGTTAGTTACAAATAAATTTAGGTACCTTTCCGTTTTGCCGGCGCAAATCTTGCCAAGTAGACTTTGTTGGCGAAAACACACAGTATACACATAAAAAGTGTTGACAAATGTTAGTTCTAAGAGTTTTTTATTTTGAAGTTATAAACATTTTAATGTCATTTAAAATTTTGTAAAAAAGCTAATAAATAAAGACAATACATTTGTAAAACAACATTAATTTAAGAATTTACTGTGCTTTCATCATACAACATCCTGATTCGCTGGTTCATATCACGTGACCCAAAGTGATCTCATCTCACGTAAACTATGCTACAAAAATCTAATTCTCTCAGTAATTATCTACATTAATTTCAAGTTAAATCTTAATTTTAAATACAAGTTTAAATGTAAGAATTATTTTAATTCGTACGAATAGCTTACTCAGAAATTAAAACTGCAGTGCTTTACTTCACTAATGCATTCTCATTAGAATTGATGAATTTAACCCTTGACTATGCCTTTTCTATATTTTCGCCATCGGGTGAGCGCATCCTAATTTACTTAATTACCGACTGCGAATGGCTTAGGGCATAAAATTGAACTATCTGGTAAAAATTCTATGTAATTGTATGCCAGTATTGAAAGAAACAATCAATCTGATACGAAATGGCTGCGACTTGTTTTGAAAATGTAAAAGTTAAAGGTTACCAGCAAGGATATTTCGTTTGGCATTGGTTGTACCATTACTGGCGACTTTATCGCTTGCGCAGGCAAAACGGAAAAGTACCATAATTTAATTATGTAGTTAGACATCCTTAATCATAAAAGATTTACATGGTTACAATAACAATCAAAATTTTCTACTTCTAAAATATTTAACGTATTTTGCAGTTTTTATCGAAATAACAGATGAGCTTCTTAGTAAAACATAAATTTTATTCTCAATTCATGAAGACAGATAATTTAAATACAATTCTATAGATTGCAGCTTAACACTCCAGCTTACTATTACAGTTTCTTTCTCTATAAATTTTTCATACATCTACTATTGTCAAAACTTTCAGAATTATCATTTTAAAAACCTTTTCTGATGTTGCTCAGCAACGGTTACACGATACAAATATGGCGTTGCCACTCCAATATCAAGGATAAAAAATATAATTACTTGTCAAATAATAAAAAATTACATCTCCCCCCTCTAGATAAACTCTAATTGATATTTTTATAAATTAAAGTTTAAAAATTTTTTTCTTTCAAAACAACACAATGCATAACTTAAATACAACATATAACAAAACATACAGTCAGAAGGAGAAGAAAGAACAAAATGATTTTCTATCTAATTAGATAAACAAATGCATTCTTTAATCATGCTACGGAGTAAGACTTAATGTATCGACAGTTGTGTGGTTTTTACCCCTTCGGTAAACAACAGCGTTATTATAAAGTTATTATAATTGTGCCCATCTCATAAGACATAGATTAAGACTCGCATTATTTTTTAGCTAAACTAAGGATTATGATCTGTCACATTCTTTTCTGTGGCAGAGTACCTTTTCTCAGTTTCTTCAGAAATTACAGTGCGTCTTCTTCATCTTCGGATGCAGAAACAAGTTCTTTTTCAGTTTTAGTGACACAGAAACCTTCTTCATTTTGATATGTCTTCTTAACTGTTTTCAAAATTTAACTTTTGCCTTTGGATGTACAGAAGAAGGAGGAACTGGATCTTCGCTATCCTCACACTCTTGTATGATGACAGTGTTAGGATTTTCAGGTATATGGATACTTAAAGCTTTATCTTGTGCTTCTTTACATTCATTGTCATATTCTGATTCTTCAAATGCACAAATGCATCAATGTTTCTTTGCCTTTGGTTCAAACTCACCTTCTGAATCACTTTTGAGTTCTCCTTTTTCTTTTTTTCTGTTTCGCACACTTATTTGATTTCCTTTCAGACGGTTTTCTTTTTTGAGATGATTTACATACACTCTTAACAACTTTTGATACTGCATCCTTATATGGTACATTAATACTTTTAACATAATATGCAAGAGCTATTTCTTGTTCAACAAGAGAGGTTACAACTGGAGATTTCCTGTTTAAATTTTGTGCATTTTTCTCTGCTTGTTTTGAAAACATGCTCATGATATTATTTTTTTCTAAATTCTTTGCTGTTTCCTGAATGCTTTTACTTTTGCCTCATCTACCTTCGTCAATCTCAATAAATGGCAGTTCTTCTAGTTTCTCTATT